GTTCAAAAATTTATCTAGCCTTGCCTTAAAAACATTCAGCGAGGTAGCTTCAACCGTTTCACTGGGCAGGGAATTCCACAGATTCACAACCCTTTGGATGAAGAAGTTCCTCCTGACCTCAGTCCTACATCTGCTTCCCTTTATTTTGAGGCGATGCCCTCTAGTCCTAGTTTCACCTGCTAGCGGAAACAACCTCCCTGCCTCCACCTTATCTATTCCCTTCATAATCTTATATGTTTCTATAAGATCTCCCCTCATTCTTCTGAATTCCAGTGAGTATAATCCCAGTCTATTCAGTCTCTCCTCATAATCCAACCCTCTCAACTCTGGAATCAATCGAGTGAATCTCCTCTGCACCCCCTCCAGTGCTAGTATATTTCTTCTCAAGTAAGGAGACCAAAACTGCACACAGTACTCCAGGTGTGGCCTCACCAGGACCCTACACAGCTGCAGCATAGCCTCCCTGTTTTTAAACTCCATCCTTCTAGCAATGACAGACAAAATTCCATTTGTATTTTTAATTACCTGCTGCACCTGCAATCCCATCTTCAGCGATTCATGCACAAGGACACCCAAGTCCCTCTGCACAGCAGTGTGCTGCAATTTTTTTACCATTTAAAACATAGTCCATTTTGCTGTTATTCCTACCAAAATGGATGACCTCACACTTATCAACATTGTACTCCATCTGCCAGACCTTTGCCCACTCACTTAGACTATCTATATCCCTCTGCAGACTTTCAGGGTCTTCTGCACACTTTGCTCTACCACTCATCTCAGTGTCATCTGCAAATTTTGACACACCACACTTAGTCCCCAACTCCAAATGATCTATGTAAATTGTAAACAATTGCGGTCCCAACACTGATCCCTGAGGGACACCACTAGCCACTGACCGCCAACCAGGAAAACACCCATTTACCCCTACTCTTTGCTTTCTACTGGTGAACCAATCCTCTATCCATGCCAATACATTACCTGTAATACCGTGCAACTTTATCTTATGTAGCATCCTTTGGTGTGGCACCTTGTCAAATGCCTTCTGGAAATCCAGATACACCACATCCACAGGTTCCCCATTGTCCACCATGCAAGTAATGTCCTTAAAGAATTCCACCAAATTAGTTAAACATGACCTACCCTTCATGAACCCATGCTGGGTGTTCCCAATGGAACAATTTATATCCAGATGTCTTGCTATTTCTTCCTTAATGATAGATTCAAGCATTTTCCCCACTACCGAAGTTAAGCTAACTGGCCTATAGTTACCTGTTTTTTGTCTACTTCCTTTTTTAAACAGTGGCATCACATTGGCTGTTTTCCAGTCTGCGGGAAACACCCCAGAGTCCAGTGAATTTTGGTAAATAGTTACTAGTGTATTTGCTATTTCCCCCATCACCTCTTTTAGTACCCTGGGATACATTTCATCAGGGCCAGGAGACCTGTCTACCTTTAGCCCCATTAGCTTGCCCAGCACTGCCTCCCTAGTGATAATGATAGTTTCTAGGTCCTCACCTGCTATAACCTTCTTGCCATTAGTTTTCGGCATGTTATTTGTGTCTTCCACTGTGAAGACCGACACGAAATAACTGTTTAATGTCTCGGCTATTTCCTCATTCCCAGTTATTAAATTGGCCTTCTCATCCTCTAAAGGACCAATGTTTACCTTCACCACTCTTTTACGATTTACATATTTATAGAAACTTTTTCTGCCTGTGTTTATATTCTGAGCTAGTTTACTCTAATAATCTGTCTTACTTTTCTTTATAACTTTTTTTGTGGCTTTCTGTTGGCCTTTAAAGATTTCCCAGTCTACTAGTTTCCCACTACTCTTTGCTTTTTTGTATGTGTTTTTTTTTCAATCTGATACTTTCCTTTATTTGCTTAGACATCCATGGCTGGCTCTCTCTTTTCCTACAGTTCTTTCTTATCACTGGAATATACTTCTGCTGAGCACTGTGAAAAATCATTTTGAAAGTCCTCCACTGTTCCTCAATTGACCCACCATAAAGTTTTTGCTCCCAATCTACCTTAGCTAACTCCTTCCTCATTCCTTCATGGTCTCCTTTGTTTAAACCCAGGACATAGGTACTGGATTTAACCTTCTCACGCTCCATCTGTATTTTAAATGCGACCATACTGTGATTGCTCCTTCCGAGAGGATCCCTAACTGTGAGCTCATTAATTATTCCTGTCTCATTACACAGGACTAGATCTAGGATAGCTTGCTCCCTCGTAGGTTCCATTACATATTGTTCAAGGAAATTATCACGGATGCATTCTATGAACCCCTCCTCAGGGCTGCCATGACCGACCTGGTTTGGCCAATCGATATGTAGATTAAAATCCCCCATGATAATTGCTGTACCATTTTTACATGCATTAGCTATTTCTATGTTTATTGTCCGCCCACCATGATGTCATTATTTGGTGGCCTATAGACCACACCTATCAGTGACTTCTTCTCCCTGCTATTCCTAATTTCCACCCAAATGGATTCAACGTTTTGTTCAGTAGAACCTATATCATCTCTCACTACTGCCCTGATATCATCCTTAAAAATCAGAGCAAAACCACCTCCCTTACCTTCCTGTCTGTCCTTCCGAACAGTTTGATACCCCTGGATATTTAACTCCCAGTCATGACCATCCTGTAACCATGTCTCTGTAATGGCCATTAAATCATACCCATTTGCCATGATTTGCACCATCAACTCATCCACCTTGTTTCGAATGCTCCGAGCATTCAGATAAAGTGCCATTATGCCAGTTTTTGAACCTTCTTTTTGGGTCCTCTTACCTCCATTACTAACAACTCTTGAGTTCTCCTTCCCTTTAACTTTTTTCCTAATTTTCAATGGAGTTGAAGCTTCCTCGTCACCTGCTAACTTGCTGCTTTGCCTTACCTTAATTGTTATTCTCCCTCTACGCTCACTTCTCCCTTCCCCCCTACTTACTAGTTTAAAGTCCTATTAACCACCCTATTTACCCTTTTCGCCAGAACACTGGACCCGGCCCTGTTCAGGTGGAGTCCATCCCAGCGGTATAGATCCCTCCTGTCCCAGAACTGATGCCAGTGCCCCATGAAAAGGAAACCCTCTTTTAGCCACGTGTTTACTTCCCTGATCCTCGCCTCCCTATGCCAATTTGCACGTTGCTCGGGCAGCAATCCAGAGATTATGACCCTTGAAGACCTGTTTTTAAATTTTGTTCTTAGCTTTTCATAATCCCGAAACAGGACTTTTTTCCTAGTCCTGCCTATGTTGTTGGTACCTACGTGGACCACAACAACTGGATCCTCCCCCTCCCTCTCTAGTATCCTCTCAAGCCGGTCAGAGATGTCTTGCACCCTGGCACCGGGCAGGCAACACACCATTCAGGATTCTCTATCCTGCTCGCAAAGGATACTGTCTATCCCCCTGATGATGGAATCCCCTACAACTACAATCTGTCCTTTAGCTCCCCCGTCTTGAATGGCTTCCTGAACCACTGTGCCATGGTCAGTTGACTCATCCTTTCTGCAGCCCTGTTCCTCATCCACGCAGGGAGCACGTGCCTCATACCTGTGGGACAATGTCAAGGGCTGCGGCTCCTGTGTTCCTGTCTGCAGGGTTCCTTTACCTGCCTCACTCGCAGTCACACACTGCTGTCCCTGCCTGCCGATCGAATTAACATTAGTTAATCTACCAGGGGTGACTGCGTCCTGGAACACAGCATCCAGGTATTTCTCCCCTTCCCGGATGTGCCGCAGTGTTTGGAGTTCGGATTCCAGCTCATCAATTTTGAGCCAGAGCTCCTCAAGCAGCCAACACTTGCTGCAGATATGGTCACTGCTGTTCTCAATGGGATCAGCTAGCTCCCACATCATACAGCTGGAAGTTAGCCTGGAGTTCTGAATTATTAATCCAGTAACTTTGCCACAATGCCACCAGCTCCCTAACTTTTAACCTTTTTGTTTGATAGATATTTTATGGTCAATAAGAATATGACCACATCTTCAACAAAACTTATGTCCTCTTGTCTGACTTTTCAACTGGAATTTGCAACAATGAACCTGCTGTAGCTTGGTTTCTTGTTTGGACGTATTAAGCTTTAGAATCAAATTTCACCAATCTCAAACATAATATTTTCACTCTTGGCAGCATCTTTAATAACTCTTTAGTATTTAACAATGTGACAAAGCATTTGTGCTCTGATTCAAATGGTTAACTTTAGACCCAAGACATAGCCTGCAAACATCTCATGAGCCCATGTAACTGCTAATGCTTCCTTTCAATTGCTGTGTATTTTTTCTCTGTTACAGGTACAAATCTAAAATGTGCTGTACACCAGTCTACATTTCCCATCTCCCTGA